CAAACACTTCCAACAAACTTTTAATAAACCATTTCACTTTTTGTACTGTTTCACCATGTGGTCCCATACACAAAGTCCTACACAAGTACTTCTATCCCCTGCTACTCTTTAGCTCATTTACTCATCTTATTGCACACCATGACATCTTAATGACAAGCTTTTACTTGCAAGAGCAAAGAAGTGTGAAAGATGACAAGACAAATATCTGAGTCAAGGCAGGAAGAGACACATACACTACTACTAGAGCGTGGGGGAGAACAGCACCACAGGGACAGCTACTAGGTTCATCATATAAGCCACGCTATCATAACCTGGCTGTTGGAAACACCCATGCAGCCAAGATCAGATCTACTGATAATGGGGATCCCAAGCACTCAGCATGGAACCACACTATCTTCCTGGTGGAAGATGATCAGTAACTTTGGTATGAATGATGCTACTTCACTGGCCAGCCCATACCACAGTCTTCTCTCAAGCAATAACTTAACTGTTTGCAAAAAAATACACTTGTTCTTCTGGCCTCCTCTTCTATTTATGCAGAGTGGAAATGTTTCTTCTGCACTAGTGACCAGTTGCCTCATCTCTTATTTCTTGACCCATGGTCTCTCATTAATTAGCCTCAATAAATAATTTGCCTCGCTGAGTTTTGTTGTGTGGTTGCTTATTTTCACCCCATGACATAACAACACAATTGAGTAAAGTGCATGTAGATGCGCAGCACTATTGACAGTAGCTGTTCTAGAAATTGTCTACAGTGACTGTGAAAGACAAATATAGCCCTGTTATGCCAAGAAATGTCTAACCAATGTGTCCTCAAGGGTGGTCCTGTCAATAGACACTGTGAATACTTAGAAATCTGACCCCAAGTTTATCTGTGACCACCCTCTTACAGAGAGAGCTGTGTGAATACAGCCCTGAAAAACGTTAGTCTTATGTTGCCCATGAATACTAAACAAGGGATGAAATTTCTGTCTCGTATATGATGAAACAAGGGATGAAATTTCCATCTCTCATATCACAAGAGTCAACAAGTCAACTGAACACCATTTTCAAGACTGAAGTTTATAGGGCTTATGTTGGCACAAGGCACAGGAGAAAGGTCACTATTTGAATAATTAATAAAAAAATACTAATATTGCTATTAAACTGTGGGGGGTTGTACACTTTTACATGTACATGACACCTGCAGTGTACCATCCAACAACAAACATTTGAAGTGGATCCTCTGAATTCTCTTTGTAGATCATTCTTTATCTAAGGATCTGCTAATTTTATTAGAATAAAGGATAGAATGTTTTGAATTTATAAAATCTGAATTTCAGAGAACAAAAATAATGTTCTGATAGCTGATAGTAACATGGCATTGAATTTCCATTTTGCCTACACTACACATAAAACTATTGCTTCCATTCCAACAAAAACTTAAGTTCTTCCTTCAAACTACAAATTATAGTAATCATTTTACACAAAGGGACATGAAATTCTTTTCACTGAAACTTTGCAGACCTTCCCTGTTACACAATTAAGACTAGGTTAGCAATCATACTTCCCAGACAGGAATGGATCTGACAGAACAATGATAATTTCTTCAACATAACCATTTACTGCAAACATTTAGGAAGATTTGAACATAAGACTCAGAGATATTATTTTTCTGTTAGTGGGAAATATACAATTTTGGGGTTTGGGTTTTTTTTTTTTTTTTATTGCTTGTTAAACTACATAAATTCTTAACTGTTTAGAATAGAAAAGATATTTTTTTTTATCATGCTGAAGTTACTTTTAAATAAGTTAAATATTAATGTAAAAACTTGTGGTAGCATATAGCTACAGCATTTATTTATTTATTATCAGCAACCTTAATTCTTAACTAGGTATGGGTCTCTGGCATTTCAATATTTTATTGATAAAGGTATGGAGTGCTGTACAAAACATAAAATCTTTATATACCCGAACAGCAAATTGCCCCCCTTCCCACTTGGGAATAGTTTATTTTTTAATGACTTGAGGTTTTTTTTAATGCTTTAATTCTTAAAATTTTTAATTCTTCATGGGTTCTAGGGCAATTGTGAATTAGCACATACATCTTTAATACTAATGACATCCAGGGAAACATTTTCTGTGGTGGAGATAATACATGCACATAAATAGTAATGTATTAAAAACAAACAAAAAAAAAATCTAAGAGAACATACACTGTATAGTTATTTGTTTATTGACTTAGAACTAATTATATATTAGAACTAATTACAGTTATAAAGCATCTGCTACTCTTCTTATCAGGCTATGAGCCCACCTGGATTGCCTTGAACTGTCCTTCACTTGGCTCATAAGCACTACAGCCACTGCATAATCGGTTGCTCGCTGCCTGTACCTTCACACCAAATGGAAACGCGGCACAAGCATCTGCCCCAGATACAGCTCACAGGTACCACCACAGGCTATTGTCTCATTTATGGCACTCACAGAAATTAAGCTTCAGCAAAGGCAAAAAATCTCTCTGGGGTCAGGCTCTCACAGTACCTTCACCAACAGATCCCTTCTTGCAGGCCTGTGAGTCCATGACTACTTCCACCTCTCACCTGCTCTCACACTTGGTTCATGAGCACTGATGCCACCACAAGCTCCTGGCACTCACACTGGTCTCACAGGAACTGGAAGCTTGCCGCTCCAGAATCAAACTCCCCCAGCCCTAATCCATCTCTTCTCACAAGCCTCCACAACAGCCTGAATCTCAACAACCTCTTACCCAGCTCACAAGTACCTTTGTTCTCTCAGCAAATGGAAACACAGCAAAGACATCTACTGCTTCAGGATAAGAATGTGGCCACCCCTGTACCCTAGCAGGTCCCTTCCTGCACCTCCGTAAGCCCTGTAAACTGAGCCTGATGAACTAACAAAGCCCATGCATGTTTTCACCCCCAGCCACCTGCACACCAAACAGAAACCTAGTTCTCCATGCTCCAGAACAAGGCTCTCACTTGTGCCTTCAGGCATAATCTGCAGTACCCTTAGCACCTACTTGACCTGCTTGAAGCACCCACAGCAAATTAAAGACTAAGACAGGTGTAAGCCTCTCCCACTCCCTGCGCTGCCAAGTGCAGATATAGACTAGATATCATGAAAAATTTCTTCACCAAAAGGCTGATCAGGCACTGGAACAGGGTGTCCACGGCAGTGGTTGAATCACCATCCCTGAAAAGTGTCCAAAAAGCATATAGATGAAGACCCCAACCATATGGCTTAGTGGTGGTCTTGACAGTCCTTGGGTAAGGGTTGGACTTGATGATCTTAAAGGTCTTTTCCAACCTAGTTGATTCTATGATTTTAAGTCCATGCTCTCAAGGACATGACCTCCCCTAAGCACCACCTCACCTCACCAACTCCCTCTCCAGGGCTGCCCTCATGCTGTCCCCTGCTCTGATGTAAGGCACCACACCACGATCCCACCCTCGGGTCATGTAACACCACCACACACCTTTCTCAGCCCCACCGCCACCTTACGTCGTCCCTCGGTCGGCTCAGAGCCTCCCCAGCACCCACCACTTAACTCATGACACCTCAGACCAACTGAAAGCCTCCCTCCTCGACAGTAAGAGCCCACCCGTGGCACCACCCGGCCCTGTGCCCCTGAGTGAAGTCAAGCCTGGCGAAAAGCCATCAGTATGGGAATCCCCCCACTGCGTTCACCTGAGGAACCCCACCTGTGCCATGCACCCACCGGATGGGACTCCCACTGCCTGACTGCACCACTCCATCGTGGCTCTGCCCCACAGAGCTCCTGCACAAGGTGCCATGACACGCTACCCCCCACCCCGAAAACCTGCCCATGTGTGTGCGTCCGGATGGGTGCGAAACGTGAACAAATCCTTCACACCTGCCACACGCCCTTAGGAAGCTGCACATGACACAGGGAAGTATTTTAGGTACTTTTGATACCAAACTGAACTATTTCATTGGCACAGACATGGACAAAGCTACAGGGATTCTCATCTGGTTCTTTTGTTGCATGCCTTCCTTATTTGAGAATCCTTGTAGCCACAGCACCTCTGGGCAACCTGTGCCAGTGCCTCACCACTCTCACAGGAAGGAAGCTCTTACAGGTCCCTTCCAGCCCTATTAATTCTGTGTTGTGGGCCATCCTCCTTTCGAGAAGGCCTGAGAAATAGGTAAACAGCTCCAAAGGGAAACAAAGGAACCTCTCAGATCACAAGCTAGCCCAAACAAGAACATGCAGTTAACCGGCAAGACTAAACACGCATTCCAATGTCCCTAACTAACGGATTGCCATAACGGGTAAAATGAGTGGGGGTATTTCTCCCCAAACGACCACCCACAGAGACCATTCCTCAAATTCACTGCGCCTGAAGCACAGCCTTATCTCCCAAAGCTGCCATACACATGAGTAACAAGGACTAGGTGGGGATTTTGCGGAAGTATGATGAATACGCATATAGTAAATTTATATGAGGTGCAAACTGTCTCTTCTCCGTGTGCATGACAGGCAGAGTGATCCCTATGCACCCAGTACCGTAATAAAGTAATGTCGGCTTTCTAACTTGTCATTCTGGTTAGAGAGTTTATTTCCCAGGTTTCAGTAACGCTTTTACAGAGAAAAGCGACAATCAGAAAGTTTAAAATGCACCTAAAAGGGATGCGAGGGGATCACCCTGATGCCCCTAACCACCTCGCGATCCCTCCCTCCTCTTCCTGCATACACTGCTGCGCTCGTCGTGGAACAGCTGCTCCCTCCAGCCGAGGGAGCGGCTCCCGTCACCGCTCCCCTGCGGCCGCCCTTTTCTCGCATCCTAAACTATCGCGACAGCCAGTCCGTGCGTGGCGAACCCGCAACTACCAGCCCTTCGCTGCACCCACAGCAGGACGTGCCCGCACGAACGGGAACCGCCGCCTACCAGCTGAAGCGAAACCACTGGCACATGACGTCATACGCTGCGCGCCTGGCAGCTTTGAACGCTGCTCCCACGGTGGCGCGACCCGCCCCGTTAAAAGTCCCGCCTCACGGAGTGGCTGCGTTGTTGCTGACGAAAGCGAAGATGGCGGCTGCCGTCTCTGAGCTGCTGACCGGATGGTGCCTTTTCGGCCTGGCGTTGCTGGTGAGAGGCGCATCCCGTGGCCCAGCTGTCCCAACTATGGCACCCCTTGTACTCCGCTATCCCTAACAGGGTTTTGTTCTTCCGTTTTCGGTCTCTCGTTGTTACAGTTCCGGGTTCCCTCTTGGTCTCCTCGCTCGGGCTGTCCCACTAGCTGCCCCGGCAGCGAGTCCTTTCCCGCAGCTCTTAGCGGCGGTGGCTCGTAGAGGTCGGTGGAACCCGCAGCTGACGAGACAAGGCTGCCTCGCCTTCCTGTAGTTAGAACGCTTGTGTGTGTTCCAGCCCTTCTTGTGTGCAAGCACTGCTCTTGCTGTTGCTCGAGCTGTGCTTAGCCAAGTACGGAAAATGAACTATGTGCGGTGAATATAGCACTGAAGGATGTGGACCTGTTGGAACGAGCCCAGAGCAGGGTCACAGAGGTGATGAGAGGGCTAGAGCACCTCTTCTATCAAGACAGGCTGAGAGAGCTGGGCTTGTTCAGCCTGGAGAAGGCTTGGGGAGACCTTAGCCTATGGGGGTCCTACGAGAAGGTTGGAAAGTGAGTTTATACAAGGGCATATAGTAATAGGACAAGGGGGAATGAGTTTAAATTAAAAAAAAGGTAGATTTAAATTAGTAAGAATTTCCTTACTGTGAGGGTGTTGAGGTGCTGGCACAGGTTGCCCAGAGAGGCTGTGGCTGCCCCACCCCAGGCAGTGTTCAAGGCCAGGTTGAATGAGGCTTTGAGCAACCTGGTCTAGTGGAAAATGTCATTGTCTGTGGCAGGGGATGGAACTAGGTGTTCTTTAAGATCTCTTCCAACCCAGACCGTTCTGTGGTGTTTAGGACTGAGGTTAAAAGTCTGCTGATGCTCTGTCAGTCATGAATACCAAGACACAGGGTTTAACTTCAGTGCCCGCTTTCTAACATCCTCATTGTTCAACTCATAACTTTCTTTTCTTGTGTGTTTCAGGCTATTCTGATTTTCTGCTGGGTTTATGTGCGCAAGTATCAGAGTCGTCGGGAAAGTGAAGTGATTTCTACTATAACAGCTATCTTTGCACTGGCAGTCGCTCTTATCTCGTCAGCGCTACTACCAGTGGATATCTTTTTGGTTTCATATATGAAAAATCAAAATGGTACATTTAAGGTATGGACTTTTAAAAATGTTAATTGCCTCTTCAGAAGAAGTACTTATGTTAAAAAGGGATGTTCTTGGGTTGACAAAGTGTTTTAACTGAATACTAATATATGATCTAGTGCCTGAGTATTTGGGAAAGCTGGAAACTAGTACTCTGAATACAGCACTGAACTTTTGTTTGAACTGGATTTCAGTTTTCATTTCTATTACCTGTTTTTGATATTCTAATTTGCAAATGCTTCTACTTTCTGTTGTGCAAAGAGGAGTGTGTATGCTGTCCTGAAAATATAAATAAATCTCTTAAATGTTGCTTTTTCGTACATCATTGTGGGGCATGATAGAATGCAATTTGTTGCTCCTTTGCTCAAAACCAGTTTGCATTGCCCATTTGAAGTTTATAAATATTTTTTTTTTTTTGGCCAAAATTCTCTTAATTCTGGTAATGAAACATTTGGACTTGTAAAGACTCCCTGTGTTAATCTACCTATGTTGTAGAGTCTGGGTTAACAAGCACTTTTTTAAAGAGGGAAAGGTGGAGTGACCCTTGGGCAAGGGGGATACAGTAATATCTCTTCTTGGCTGATAGGGCCTGAACTGAGCTACTGTTTTTGTGAACTTAAGCTGTAGGGTGTTGCTGTGCAGAATGAGTTCTTAGTGGGATGAGTACTCAGTGTGGTCTGCTGTAAGCCTTTCTGAAAGTAGGAGTTCTTCCCAATGCTTAAAGCTTCAGCCTTTTTAATTTTAGAGGAAGGTTCTTGAAGGTATTAACTTTGTGAGGACACCCCCATTAGAAATAGGTCAAACTGGAGAATATTAGTAACTTTAATAACTTCTTAGTTTGGTTTGGAGCCCACTTGGATCTGTAGTAAAAGATATGATCCTGGAACAAATGAGGGAGTGGTGCCTGTGCATTAAACTGAAAGACTGCGTTTCCTTCCAGCCCTGCTTCCAAAGGAAAACCTAGCTCCTGCTAGATCCTTTATAAAGCTTCAGAACTAGCTTGCAGCCAATGCTTTTAGCTGGTGCTCATGTAAATGCAAGTCATAAGAAGCTTTTGAAAATGAGTTGTGATGTGATTCTTGGGATGTTTATTACTCAGTAGTAGCAATACAGGACAAATTAAGCTTTTGCTTAATGCTGTTGTTAAAAGCTTGTGTATTCAGGCCTTCTTTCTTGAGAATTAAAATGACTGTAGAAGTTGGAAGAAGGCTTTCGTATGTCATGATACTAGCAGTTTAATGACAATAATACTATGTATTAAGAAATATATTGAGCACGACTAGCTAGAGAATAAACAATGATGTAACTAGGCCTAGCTGAAAAAAGTGTATCTGCTGGGGGCCAAGCAGAATTTCTAGTTGCAAAGGAGACCTATTTTGTTAATTTATGCATTCCCTGATTTGAGAAACAAACCTGTGAGGAGAATAGGAATCCCAATGGGGTCGTGTAGTCCCTACAGCCTTATTTAAGGAAGTATGTGTAATAGAAGAAAAACTACTATACTTGAAGTACTGTTTTTCTTGTGCTGTGGTGCATAGATTCTGTTTAAAAATTGTACCTGAAAACATGCTGTTAAACTGGTGGTAAAGCTTTTCTCTCTTTAAAGTACCCTTTTGCCTGTGCTTCTGAGGCTTCTTGGTCCCGCTTAGTTCCTAGTGTTTGTAGATGCTGCTCTTAGCCTGTTGAAATAAAATTGCTGCGTGCTACCTTTCAGAAGAATTATTTTTTCTCTCTTAAGGCTCAGATGAATGAGTTTCTACTTTGCAGGAGTAGCATGAGAACTAGTATGCTTGTCCAACACAAGTGTTGAAATTGGTGTGGAAATATTAATGTAGCCTTTCTGATAAAGTTGAGTGAAGTCAGACCACACAAACCTATATGTAAACACACAGCTTGTTGATTTGGTAGTCTCAGTTTAGGAGTAATGTCAAGTTAGGAGGTTCACAGCATCTAAATGTGAAATATTCCTGAATTGTTAAAGCTTTTAACTCTGTCCTGTGTAACAGGCTTTTTTTCCTGCTACTGCTTCACAAGTAGAATGGACTGGATTGGGTTCAGAACATTTCAGAGAGACTACTACCCTTTTCCTGGAGCTTTCTTCAAGCTCAGCACCTCCAAGGCCCTATATCTGACCTGGGGTCTGAAGGACTGGAGCTGGCAAGAATCCTTTATTGCTTTTGTATGGCCAGAATGAGTGGGTCTTCTCTAGATGATTCCCCTCAATGAATTTTTGAGGTGAATCCAGATAGCGGATGTGGATAATCTTCTCTGTAGATAAGTAATTAATTCATCAAAAAAACCCCACCAACTGGATTATTCCAGAGCTTATGCCAGAAGAGTAGTAGCAGTTATGCAGATCATAGGTAAACACTTTTTTGCTGCACATATTCCTTTCCTCTACCTCTTCCAACTGTAATTCCGTGCATCAGTGTTAGAGATGAGGAAGTCAAGGATGCTCAACTTACAAGGAAGTGGTACTGTATTTGGACTTTTAGTTAATTTTTAATGCATCTGACCCTACTATCAACTTGCAGGTATTGAGTTTTTTTCTGTGAACAACCTGCAAAAAGCATGTTATATTAATAGCAGAGGGTAAATTGAAGGCATAGTCTTGTGGTTCAGAATTCTCATTATGATTTGTGTGTTCAGTGGCAAGTAAAGGTGTGTGTCATGGCAACAAGGATTAGTTTAACTGTCTAAAGTGAGATACCCACGCAGATTACCTTTCTGTGAAGGCTGTCAAAATGATGCTGCTTTTTGAGTTCACTTAAAGCAGTGTTGTGTAGCCCTTTTCCATCATGTGTTCTGAGGTGTCTTCCTTGACAAGGGCCATATAGTATACCTTGGTCAGCCTTTGATAACCTTGAGGTCCTGTCCATTCTGACAGGACTGTTGAATTTAACATACTGTTTCTACATATTTCAATTAAGACCAGTTTTTCTTCACTATAAAGAAGTGGCTTATGGCATTTGGTACCTGTTGGTCTTGCTGTATTTTGTGAGACTTAACAAATGTTATCTTAAAGGTTTAATAATGATCAGTTTTGATATTAGGTTTTGCATAGTAGTTCTGTAGTCTTTTAGGGAAGGAGCAGTGGTGCATGGACTTGGATGGTCATTATTCCTATGTACCATAAAAGAGCTTTTCTGGAGGGTGGGATTACTTTGATTCATTGTGGCGTTAAGTAGGAAAGCAGGCTTTTGGTTCTAGCACTAATCAGAAGAACTTGAGTATTATTTTGTAAGTGAAGTCCTGATAATATTTGCCAGAACCACTTTAATCTTGACTGTTTTGGCTGTTTCCATTGACAGTGCTTTAATTTGTGCAGTGGAGTTCAAATATATCCAGTTGGATATGATCTGTTTGATCTGAAAGCTTGTTTGATTTATAACAAGCACTTGGGAACAGAAAACCTCACCCTGCCTTAAAGACTTAAGATTGCTGATGTCTGGGTCGGACCTACAAGTCTCATTAATATTTAAAACAAAGCTGATAGTGTTTTGCAGCAGAAAGACTCTTTGAAACAAGGATGTTATCACCATGGTGTCTTTTTTTTTTTTTTTTAATCTGTTGTTGATGCAGCAGAAGGCAGGATGTGATGACAAACATTTCTTTTTGGAATGTGTGTATTCTTGCTAATTATATGAAGTTAAGTCAGTGATATTTCTTTCAGTCTGGTTAGACTGAACACCTGATAAAACTTGTGTGTCTGCATGAATAATTAAAAGCCAGTTGTCTCCTTAATGATTCAAGTAGTAATGTCTGTTTAATAAGAGATCATTTTTGCAGACCATTCTATGAAGATTTTGTATCTTTATGTAGCTGCTTTAGGATACAGAATCACTAGATCTGTCAGATGTTTTTATTCTAGAAAGATGTTCACTGAGAAATCATTATCAAATGAGACCATGCTTCCTGTCCTTAGGAATTATTGTGTAGGAATTGTGAGATAGCAATATTTGGCCAGGTGTGGCTGAGATATGAATGGAGAATGTTATTCTCCATCTGGTGGTCAGAATCGTGGCTTTGTCCCATTTTGGAGGTAGCAGGTTGGAAGATCGGAGACCTGGGTGTGAAATTTCTTCTTGTGTAACCTGCTATGACCCACTCACCAGTTCTTGGTATTGCATCTTCGTTTTGTTGGCTAAGCTTTGGGACAGGCTGATCAGCAGAATGACTGGTCCATCTACATTTAATGAAACATCAGAAATACTGAAACCTGGAATGTTGCATCGTTTTAAGCTGTATTAAGGTACATTTGCAGAGAGTGGAAGATGTCTTCATTGGGTACTTGTGAAATTGTTACAAAGTCCTTTAGCGACAGTAGACATACCTGTTTTAAGAGGGACAAAAGAATGAAATTCATGGCTATTCCCTCACCAAAAAGTGGGGAAGGTAAAAAATGTCAGATTAGCTTGTACTGCTTTCATCTGGGGAAGTTATCTGTGCAGTTTGAATAATACTGTTCTGTTGAAATATGTTAATCTAAGTCATGAACTGGACATAGTTGCTGGCAGAAGGAAGACTGGGGGAAGCAAGTGCTCTTTGTAACTGATTTTCTATGAATGTAATTATAAAATTAATCTTCTGAGGGAGCTTTGCTTTGGTTTAACATTAGGTAAAACAGAAGTGTCTTAAACTGCCTTTTTTAATCTTTATTTACATAACATTTTATCAAAGGATTTAGTTTTTACACCTGTAACTGTACTTAAATTTCCTGAATCCCTCAACATGGCTTGTGTTAAGAAATCCGTGAGAGTAATACATTAATCTAGGCCATCATACTCATTGTACATATCCCTGCAAATTGTTGATTCCCTTATCTATCGATGCAATGCACTGGTACAGGTGTTTTAAAGATGGTAGGATGTAGGCTTGCTAACCTGCATGGAACAGGATGAAGTACAGCAGAACAGTGCAGAATGCCTGAATTCTGCAGATCTTAAGAGAATTTGTAGTCACATTTATGCATTTTAAACTGCTGTTGAAGGCAGTAATGAATGCTCACCTTCGTAGTCTGTTATGCTTCTGTGGTGTTTGCTGTATATATTGTAGGCTTGGGCTGTAATTGGGGAAGAAGAAAATGGACTAGATGTAGAGGCTGTCCAGTTAAGTTTTTACATTGAGTCCTGGATATGTGTGTCCAGTAAACTCATACACCTATCAACTTGAGACACCAGCACTGCTGCTGAGAATGTCAGAGCTCTGACGCTTACTACGTAGCAGTGCTTCTTGCTTTTGACAAAGACACTGCTGCTGTCACAAGCTTTTTGAAACAGCTCAGATGAACTAGTTAGCTGCTTTTGAGATGCTGATGATGGGTGCATATGGATAATTCGTCAGCAAGAGAAGAATTTTTCAATTTGTGTAAATGTGGGTCTTCAGCAGCTGACTGAAAGCTGACATAATAGGTATAATATACCATTAAATTCCCTTGAATTACAGATTTCATGGCAAAGTAAAAGTTTGTAAGTTCAGTCATGTGTACACAATGGTGAAATGTACACATCTTCATCTTTTAATGTAAGATAACATCTCAATATTTTAATATGCTGTAATGTATGCTTCCTAGTATATTACTCAGTCCTGTCGATAACTTAATTTGAGCGACAGAATGAAAAACAATTGCTGTGTCTTAAAGATTTACATCTGTATCCTGTTATAAATGTTACTAATGCTTTTTCTGGAGTTGGAGGAGAAGGATCCTTTTGGCAGTTAAGCCCTGTTGTATTTCAGTTACTAGCTATCTCGTCCTGTAAAGTGGCCATGACACTTAAACTTCAGGTCTTACTATAGCTTTTCATGCTTATTCTTGGTGTGGGTTTTGAATGTCTCTCCTTTGCTCACTGGAGAGATCTTTGTTGAATGCTTACTTGGAAGTAAATAGTGCCACCTGTTCAGTCTTGCTTTTCTCTTAGGTGTAATTAAAGCAATGCATTTCCATAATTTTTAACACTAGTTAATTTAAGCAGTCTAATATCCTGTGTACATATTCTAAAGATCAAATTCTTTTGTGGTGTCTTTTTATACAAATGGCTAGAATTTTTTCAGTTGAAATGCTGTTGTGCTTGAGCCTGACAGTCTTGAAAGGTTGGGCTTATTGTATGCTTGACAAATACTTAAGGTGTTCCTTTTGTCACTTTTGCGAAAATATTTTTCATGAATTTTTGCTGATTAGAGAACAAAATGCACATGTAACTTTCTACTCAAATTCCAGTTAAATGCTAATATAATGTATTTCAGGCATTGAATTTTAAAAGCTCAATATAAAGTGACCTATTCGAAGTCACTTAATATAGTAACACAAAGGAAGGGTGATACTGATTTTACCAAGGTTACAGAAAATAAGGTGTTTGTCATCAAGCCTGTGTTTTGTTGGAGTTTAGGCAGTTCTGAGAGAACTGATAAAGCAAGTGATAAGTGTCTTTGAGTTTTACCATGCGCACTCTTCAAAGAGTGTGTTCACTTGCATCTTTCATATGGTCTGTATTAGTGCATGTATCTTTACAACAACTGAAAGGGCTTGAGTTTGTAAGTTTGAAGAAAGCCTATGCATAGAAATTTAAAGGCATTTTGACAATGCTGGACCTTTTCTTACCAATTCAGTTATGTTGGCATATATCCAAAATTGTTAGCTTTTGAAGAATTTTCCTTCTGGATAACCACTTTTTTGATCTTGACTTCTTGTAGATTGGACCACACAAGAACAGTTCTGGACTATGTTTAAGCTGTACAGACAGGCTTGGAGTTCAGGATTCAGTCCCTGAGTTTGGCTGCCAATAATCATGTTAAAAAACATTTAGCTTCCTTAAACTAATAGTTTCTCTTGAGAAGAAGAAAAAAGGGATGGGGAAGAGCTTGACTTCAGCCTTCTGGCTGGGTGCAATTACCAATGTAGTTGAAGTTGTTTTTTCACTTCCATTCTCTGAGCAGTTTGTTAGGGCTGAGTAATACAATTCTGAAAAAGATCAGATTTTGTTCTCGTTCGCATAATGAATATCAATGCGGTTTGGGATTTACGGGATCTAAATCCTAACATGAGTTGATGGGTCTCTCTTTGGTAGGATTTGGGAAATACTACTCCACTAATTTCTGTGAAGAATTATGGCTTCTTGGTCAGCATGTGACTTTGTACAATAACTTCAGGAAAACAGTCTGCCCTTTGTATTATGTGAAGAGCTTCAGTGCTTACACCAGAAACTCAAAGCACACTGTTAATGTCTAAGCTCTGCTAATGTTTGAGTATCAAGTAATCCAGCAAGTTTAAATTGTAATACCTGATTTAAGGTACCATTTGCTGAAGGTAACTTGAATAATCATGCAATTCAAGTCTTGGTCAAACTAAAAAGTAAAGGGTCATTGTCCTGAAAAAGGAGATTATGGCTTAAACTGGGTGCATAACTAATAAAAATATAAACTTGTAAGATGCAACTGAACACAATAAGTTATTTGCATGCTTATATTTAAGTACTATTGCATCTGTATGTATAAATTTCAGTCATAATTATTCTGTGATAGGACTGCTGTGTGCATGGTGTACTGTGTCCAGGTCTGAGGCCTACAGTGCAAGAAAGACATGGAACTGTGAGAGCAAGGCCACAGTAATGGTCAGAGGGTTGGAGCATGTCTCCTATGAAGAAAGGCTGATAGAATTGGGGTTGTTCAGCCTGGAGGGTGGTGAGGCACTGGAGCATGTTACCCAGAGGAGTTGTGGATGCCCCATCCCTGGTAGTGTTCAAGATCAGGTGGGACAGGGCTTGTTAGTAGAGGATGTCTCACCCCATGGTGGAGGGGGGTTGGGCTACATGATTCCTGAGGATTTCTTCCAACCCAAACCATTCTGTTATCAAGCCAAACCTACTCTGTTGTTTCTGGTCTGTAAAATTTTACCATTATGAAACTCTTCTGTGCTTATTCCTGTGTGCTCAGTCATTTTCACCTTTGCTAGCACTATGTACCCAGTAATTTTTTAGAACCAGCATTTTTGTCTATATCGCTGTGTTTGTGTTCTTTAATGAGTGATTCTTTTGTAGTGTTGCCAAGTACAGTAGTAACAGGAAGTGAATCACTGTAGAGATTCTCAGAGGAATATGGATCTTATTCCGCATCTGGAATATTGTGTCCAGTTCTGGGCCCCTCAGTTCAAGAAGGACGGGGACCTGCTGGAGAGAGTCCAGCGCAGGGCAATGAAGATGATTAAGGGAGTGGAGCATCTCCCTTATGAGGAAAGACTGAGGGAGCTGGGTCTCTAGAGAAGAGGAGACTGAGGGGTGACCTTATTAGTGTATATAAATATATACAGGGGGAGTGTCACGAGGATGGAGCCAGGCTCTACTCAGTGGGAAACAATGATAGGACAAGGGGTAATGGGTACAAACCGGAACACAGGAAAAAAAAAAACCTAGAACTGCAAATAACTATACCTTCAGTTGCCTTTTACAAAACATCTTCAAAAAACTGTTCAGATTGAGTTTCAGGCTCAGTAGCTGCATTGTCTGATCTGTAGTAAACAGTTTTGTAAAAATAGGTATTAAGAGGCTGCTTAAATACTAAGAGAACAAGAGTGAGTTATTAGCTGCTAAAAATTAACTAATAATTTTATTTCAGTTTTGTATTGGTAATATAATGTATGATAAAAAAAAAAAAATCTTTAGTTATCTGGGAAGAAAAAAATGAGCTTTGAAGGTATGAGGCTAACAGCCAGAGGGTATAAGCAGTGGGGATACTGTTGCAGTGTCTGTCCTTTGAAATGCATCACATTCATGAATTGTTATTGGAAGGTAATTACCTCTAACTTAAATTCTAATGCAAACTGGGTGCTTAATGTTTTTCCTTAGGCATTTGATATGAGCAGTGGTTTTGATTCTGTAAGAATGCTATTGAATGAAACATTCTGTTTCATTTGATAAAAATGCTTCTGTCCTTTATTACTAGGACTGGGCTGATGCTAATGTTTCAAGACAAATTGAAGACACTGTACTTTATGGATATTACAGTAAGTATTTTTAACCTCTATTTTTTTTTATTTCCTACTCAGTTAATAGGACCTTCCAGTGAAGGCATGAAGTTTTTAGGGGCCATATTAAATTATCCCTTTTTGGTTAAAAATTAGTCTTGCATGACTTTGGTTAAACATGAAGACTTAGTGCTCTTCAGTTAATTTTTTACATTGAAGAGCCCCCTAAAAATGCAAATATGCTGAAGGCCAATCCAAAAAAAGTATAAAAAAAAAGTATAATGGCTTCTGTCATAATCTACTGTTAACATTTTTCCTGTGTGCATATTTAGAGGCCCATTAAGGGAAACTCAGTGTTTTGCTTTAACTTTTATGGCACTTTACGTATGCAGCAATGTGAAACTTGCTTTCCATGAATAAAGCTTGTGCAACTGTGAGTGGAACACTTAACGGTGTTCAGTTTCAGCAGCTACCGTATTCAAAGTTAACAGCTGCTCTAAAGGAGCTTAAAGGAGTTGAGTCAGGAGTGGTAATCCTAAAAAAAACTGAAGCAGAAGTTTTACAGAAATCAAGCCAAATAAACTGATTGTTTTCTGTAGTTTTAGAATAGTTTTTTAGTTGTCCTCCTGAAACTTATGAAAAGCTGTACTACTAATGAATGTATGTAAGAGGTATCTGTGGAAGAGTGATGCTTATCACAGAGTGAAATGCTTGCTTCGGTCAATCATATAAACTCAGACATAATTGCCTGCTTTTGGTTACATTTCATAAGACTTCGCATGGAAGACTGTGGGTTGGCTCTTGTGAATGTATTTTCTTAGATCAGGAAATAATTTGTTTTTAATAGTGAACTTGTTTTTTCTTAACTTACAGAATGCATGTTGCCTGCCAGTGATAGTGACAGAAACCAGAATGTGCAGTTTCATGCTGAGTGAAATGTGAAGCCAAAAGTAGTAGGAAACTTGTTTTCAAAAAGGAACTTTTAAAATGCTAGTTTATCTCCCTCTAAGAGTCTTCACTACAGAATAGGGGAATTCCTTTGTGTTAGCTTTTTGCTTTTATTAGGTTGCTACAGTCTTGTTTAACAGCTCAAGCATTTCACGAATCCTAACATGGAACAGTCTTCAAACTCTTCTGTGAACCATTTTCTATAGATTTGTGAAACTGATGGATGAACTTCCATAAGATGTTTTGGGCTGAGTCTCTTTGTAAAGCAAGATGTCCCTTAGTAAATCCTGAACTAATTTTTGGAACAGATTTAAGTAAAAAAAACCCAAAACAAACAAACAAAAAAAAACAACAAAACCCTGCTGTTGTTTTTAGCCTGTCTGCACAGGTCTACTTGAAATATTGTAGGACTAATGTTTTATTCCATAGCATATCCTCCAGATGGTGGTAGAGATTTAAAGATGTTTTTAACAGTATTTTTCTTTTGTGATCTTAATTTAAGGAATTGATGCATGCTTTTATAACTAGAGCTACATTGAAATGAACAGTAATAGGTAACTCATCTTTCAGAACTCTCCATCATTATTATATAAAAAGACAGCTTAATGCCTATCCTGCATCATTAGGCCTAGTCCCCTGCTGCTGTTACGCAGCATAGTGACATGAAAGCTGAGAAGGAACAAGTTAAACAACTTTTTCTAGTCTTGTAACACTATTCAATTTTTTTCTACTTGTATCCTCTTAAGGAAGTGTTTGATGTTTCTTAATAAATAGGCTGAGGAGAACTGAGATCTCCTATTGTACTTAAGAATATGAATACCAGGACTTCCTCTCTCCTGAAAATGTGGTGATAATTATATAGATCTCAGTTACCCTCTGTAGCTATAATGGCAACTTATTGTATAAATAATTGGTACACTTAAGTCACAGTCCTTCACAATCCATGTCACTTCTAATTGTAGCAAGAATTTGGAGGCTATGGTTTAACTGGTTGTCGTGGTTTAAACCCTAGCCAGACAGCTTGTTCACTCACTCCCAGTGAGTGGTGCCGGGCTGAGAGCAATTGAGGCCTCCCCCCCGGGGCTCTCCCCTTCCCTGCTCCTGGAGGAATGGGGAGGAGGATCGAAAGAGTGCAACTCCCACGGGTTGAGACAAGAACAGTCCAGCAACCAATGTACAACACAAATCACGACCGCTACCACCAACTACAACAATGATAAGAGAAAATAACAAGGCAAGAGAATACAATACCACCAGCCAAGAAACGAGTCCGACCCAGATGCCTGTGTCCTTGCGGGTAACTCCCAGTTACCCCCACCCCCCCACCCCACCCCCCCCAGGCATGACGTGGTGTGGTATGGAATACCTCTTTGGCTAGCCTCGGTCAGGTACCCCGTCTCTGCTTCCTCACAGCTTCCCCTCCTCCCTGGCAGAGCATGAGCCTCACAAAGTCCTTGGTCAGGGTAAGCATCACTTAGCAACAACCGAAAACATCGGTATCACCAGCACTGTTCCCAGGCTGGAAGTCAAAACACAGCACTGCACCAGCTACCACGAAGGAGAAAAATGACTGCTACTGGTGAACCCAGGACACTGGTATTTTAGAATATTAAGGATTACTTTACTACCTCTGGAGCTTACTGAGAAAGCTGTCACTAAATGTAGAAGAACTACCCCCTCCTCCAAGTTGTTATTCCACATGAACAATATTGTCTTTCATGCCCAGCTGGCTTCTGGGCTAGTCTCATACAGAAGTAGAATGGCTTTATACTAGTAGAATAACTAATGAGAACTTTTTCAGAACAAATCTTGAAATAACTCTATCTTGAAGGAGGTCTTCAGTAGTGTCGTGGTTTAAACCTAAAAGCTTTACTTAGGAAACCAGTCTGCTCATTGCTTTAAAGCCATAGTGGCTTAGTGTGTTAATTCTCATAAAGCCAACTGTAGTAGAACATGTCTGCCAGTACTTCAGTGGTAGAAGAATGATCAGTGGTTGGCAGATGCTCTAAAAACAGCATATCAGCTTGTGTTTGGAAGGAAAACCCTTTTCAGAAGGCGTTATAATTGGAAACTGTCCAACGGTGGTTTCCTGTGCACCACAATTGGGCTGAAACAATTGAGAGTGACCTAGTGCTGTGTTCTGTAGCTCTTCCTCTAACAAGCAAATCCTACTTGCTGAAATCACCTTGATGTTAATTGTCCTTTGGTGAAGTTTTGTGAATGGTGAAAGAATGCCATTGATAGATTCCAGTCTTCCTGTGAAGCAGACAGATTTCTTGACCTCATAGAATCATAGAATAGTTAGGGTTGGAAAGGTCCTTAAGATGATCTAGTTCCAACCCCCCTGCCATAGGCAGGGACAGCTCACACTAAACCATGTCACCCAAGGCTCTGTCCAGCCTGGCCTTGAACACCCCCAGGGATGGAGCGTTCACAGCCTCCCTGGGCAACCTATTGCAGTGTCTCACCACCTAACAGTAAAGAATTTCTTCCTTATATCCAATATAAACTTCCCTTGTTTAAGTTTGAACCTGTTACCCCTTGTGCTGTCACTCTAGTCCCTAATGAATAATCCATCCCCAGCATCCCTGTAGCCCCCCTTCACATATGCATGTGTTAAGTGTCTCCAAACTGCAGTGTGGCAAGCACTGTCTGTTAAATTCTATGGGGGTCTCTACATGTGTGCTTTAAATTCTGTTCTAAACTTCCAGTTTTTCATTTCTCTATTTCTTAAATGGAATTATTTTCTGAAGTCAGCAGTTACTGATATAACTTGGATGATTTTTGTGTGGAGTTTTATCTACTTACAGCAAATGTTTGATACTGAGTCATTAAAACAAGGACATTAAAACAAGGCATTAGTAGGTGCAAGTCAAATGTGGCTATGTGTTTTCATGGTTTGGTCCTATGAGAAGACATGCTAAATACTGTGGAAAAACTTGCACAGCTGTACTTGACAAATGTTGTGGAGTTACATCTATGGAAACTCTTCTAATAAGCATGATAATGGGAAGATGACAATTGCCAGGTCTAACTTTCTATATTTAGGTTATATTTTATATTGATATGGTGCAAAACAGCTGAAAATAAGTAATTTTGACTTCAGAATTACTTTCTGAGGTGAAGAATTTATTTGGTTTTTAAAACAAACCAACTTACCAAGAAATTCTTGCTGAAGATTGCTTAGACTTTATGGCAGGAACTGTTATTGTACTGGCTATACACTGAAGCACTTCAGTGGTAGTGCTTCAAGCTTCTGATACAACCCAGAAAAATGTTTTGAAACAAAAGCTGGACCTCTGAACCAGAGCAAAGAGCAGTCCTTGATTTAGAACTAAAGTCCATAGAAGAGTAATAATGAAAGCCGAGACAGTCTATCATGCTGCAAGGTAACAGTGACATTAGAGGGAGGGGACTATCTTTGTCACTTGGTTGACTGGCTGTTTGCTGCTGCATGATCTTTGAGTTTGAAGGTTAGCTTTCCAGGGAATAAACAGCCTTTTTAGTGGGCAGAACAACAGGCAATTAGATGCTTGCCTTTGGGTAAGTAACTTGTATGAACTTATGGAAAGTGCTGCTCTTTGTTTTTCGTAAGTTCTGAAAAATAAAATAAAAAAAAAAAACCCAGGAGACTGATCATCTTTCTGGTAGGAACTTTGCCAAATCTTTTAAAGTTTCCTTTGTAGTATGAGGAAGAACAATGTTTTATTACCTTGTGTGATGAAAAATTAATTTTCAGTTCTAACTAAAAATTCTCACAGGCAGTTTTAGACTTCACCTGATAGATGAACAAAAATGTCTGTCTTGAAAAGATTTTGCTTAGGAAAAACAAATGCAAAGCTCTTAAGGGTTTGTTTTTTTCTTTGTGCTTTTTTTTTTTTCTGTGGTTGGTCCTCTGAAGTTACCATGATAACAAGGTTATTCAACAGGGCAGATAGTAGAGCTTTTGCAACACTAAGTATAAGTTGGAGTTTATGCAGTTACATGTAAGTAAAATTATCCTCAAGCCTTAGTATTACGTGTTGTCTTGAAATGCGTTGAAAGCCTGTAACTTCTGGAGAATACATTTAAGGTGAATTTAAGGGTGAAGTACCAGCAGAGCATTTGTGACAGATGGAAAATTCTGGAACGACTTTTGTGCTGAATCTCGTATATGCAGATCCTGTCTCAAAGTTGATAGAGAGTATGCTATTAGAGCTTAAGGCTTTTAATATGAAACTTCTTTTAGAAGTTAGCATTGGCTGAGAACTTCAGTCCTTCTAGTAAAGCATAAATTTGAAGGAATTGTGGCAATTTAATGGCTTCAAATAATGTCTGTGGGACGGAAAACTGTAACCATGGTTGATTTTTACCTCTTTTTAGATAGAGGTGACTACGTGACAGGTTTATGAACTGCCTGAAGATATTAGTCTCTACTTGGGGATTTCCCAAGGTCAGCACTAAAGAAGTCCCAGGGAGAGCCATTATAGCTCTACAGGTCTGCTGACTTCCATAACTGATTTGGCAGAAACAAAGGTTTAGCTGCAGAGTTACCTTGGCTCAATTTTTGTAGTCAATAGCTTGAATAGTGTGAGAAGTATTAAGGCTGGATGCACTCTTGAAATGGAAGTACAGTGTTTTTGCCAGAAGGGGTCCTGTTTCCAGCAGCATGCTAGAGTGCTTCTTGCCACCCTGCTTTAGTCATTTTTTTGGCATCTGGTAGATGCTTCTGGTGTCCTAACCCAAATTTCAAAACTGCTGGTGACATTCTTCCTAATGCAGATCCAAGGTGGTGTTGGCCGCCTGTGCTGTGAAACTGCTGTCTTTGTTACAGTTTTGTGTCAGTGTGGCAAGTTAAGGTGACCCAGCACAAAGTCTAGCAAACACTGAAGATGTTGCAAAGAAGAGTTTAAGTATGACAGGTAGGTGGTGGAGAGGGGGAAGTAGAACTCCTTGGATCAGATATGACTTGCCTCTTAATGCTCGCTGAGGAATGCATTTCAGCATCTGACTGCTATGGTCAAGTAGGTAAGATTCTGGCTTTTCTGTTATTGGTGTGGAATGGTGGTGTGCTTTTTGATCTGCTTCTCAGATGCTTAGAGTTAGAAGCGAGTAGTTATGTCTGAATATTTTAGCTACACTTACGCAGTATTGACCTTGCAGGCAAACCCCACATATTTAATCTTTAGCTTGGAAGCATGATCTAGCTCTGTAGTGTGGCTTTTGCCTGTCCTGTAAGAGTCAAGAATGGATTGTGGGTAGAGGAGACTTGAGTGTAGAAGCAACTCCTGTGGTATACTTCACATGCTGAGCTTCAGGGTTTTAGTTTAGATAAAGACCAGGTGAAATATAGTAAAGAAAAATCTGACCTAATCATATTTCTTGAATGAGGTTGAAAATGGGAAGCTTTTCCGCAGAAATAACTGAGCAAGATCAGCTGAGTCTTTAATATCCAGTTACACTTAATATTGCTCAAAGTATGCTGTACTTGCTTTTCAGTATCAGAACAGCATCAGCCTTGTTACTAGATTGTTTGATATCACTTACCTGCTTGAAATGGATTATTTTGAATAGGGAGTAGGTGAGAATGGTTTAGTGATGGCTGTGTGGGGAGCCCAAAGGCTGAAATATTTCCTCTTTTTGCCACCATTGAAAGTACAGTAGTGGGCCTAATGAGCCACTGGAACTGATGTCACTTGTTATGATTTTTAGAGGATTGTTGTGTTTTCCCCAAAATTGTATTGAGAATTGCAGAAGTGTAAGGATGTTTATTAGGAAAGGCTTGCAGAAATATACTGTATTATATTCTTCCACTAGTTTAATAACCAGCCTTTCTTTTAAGAAGGTGTAGGGCTTGAGCTGATCGAGTTCTATGTGAAGAGCATTAACTTGATATGATCCAGAATGAGACTAAACCATGGGACCCAATCTTTAGCACACTTCTCTAGATAGTGTAGGACTAGCTAGATAGTTATATCTTGTAGCTTGCTAATCAGCTCTTAGATAAGTTTTAATTGGTTTAGCAATATTACCTGAAATTAACTTTTACCTTATCTTGCTAATTTGAAAATATCTTTGGTCAGATGTGGCCTGGCTTTTCAAAGTAAAGACTGGAAGCTTTTCTTCAAGAAATTGAATGGCATTTTCTAATATTTGACTTCCCTTTGAAGTTGATTTTGACTAGTCAGACAACTTCTAAAAAAAGTAATTGTTGTTACCAAGTAAGCTTTCAGTGAGTTGAAGCATTTTGGCTTGGAAATTAAGAATATACAAAAGGAGGTGGGTAATATTTAGCTTCAAATTACTAAGCAGTTGACATAAGAGGCTTTAGTGGAATTTTTAAAAGGTTTGATCCTTCATCGTGCCCTGCTTTACTTTTTTACTTTTTTCTTTTTTTTTCCCTGGTTCACTGCTCAATTGAAGCATGAACTGAAACCTTTAGTCTGAACGGGTAATTCTATGAGTCCTTCGGAGTTCATAAAAAAAGTAATAGTTCATCTGCTGGCTAGTAAATTTTATTTCCTTTTCAATGCTTGAAATTAGAGCTACAGTGAGTAAACTAATGTTTGTTTCTTTCCTTTTAATTACTATGCACTAAATGAAGTATCAATATATCTTTGTCTCTTCACTTAATTAAATTATTTCTCCTAGCTTTGTACTCCATCATACTGTTCTGCGTCTTTCTGTGGATTCCATTTGTCTATTTCTATTATGAGGAGAAGGAAGAAGATGATGGCAACACATGCTTGGTAAGTTCACTCTGGCAAACGCATCAAGCAATGAAAAGGCAAATGAAAACAGATGAAAACAAAAGCAAGAATGATTGATTGTGGAACTTGGCTACTACAGTGTTTATTTCCAAGTCTGTTGCTACAGTTCCTTTAAAATACCGAGGCAGCTCTTAACACTTAGTCTGATGTAGTATACTCTAAGCACTGTAGTCTCACAGGAAATAAAACTTTAGTGAGATAAGTAATTAACATTTGTATTGCCATGAGTTCTTCCTACAAGTTCCTTTGAGCCTTATTTAATATACAGGAAAAACTGTTGCATGAGATTTTTCTTCAAATAGAAAATGTATTTCAACAGGTTTTATAATAGAAGACAGAAAGATTATACTGATTCTGAGAGAGACACTAAATTTGATTACCTTCCTTACAATGTTTGCTTTTTTTTTCCTTGAAGTAGGCAGTAGTAATTTATCTGTAGCTAGTACTTGTGTTTTTGTAATACACAGGAGATTTTTGACTTGCATGACATTCCAGGGCATGTAATAAATGCATTCCAGTAAGGCTCTAACTTCTCAAATGAAAATACTTTCCTTTAAAGAATCTTTTAATCCTTGATCATGATCATTTCCCCTCTTTATTCATTTGTACCCTTTACATGAGAAAAAGTCTTCTAATCCCAGCCATACTATAAACCACTGGTAGTAAGAATTTTCTTTGAGTGTATTGGCACTGAACAAATGTACCCTAGCTACTGGCCAGAGCTGCTCAAGTGTGTAGTTTATGATGGAAGCATAAGTTGAAAACTGTGAACAGTGATATCGAACTATGAGATTCTTCACGAATGTCTAATTCTGACTTGTGTTTACTCATTTTCTGTGGAAGTAATTTTGTAGAACACTTGTTGCACTAACTATGCTTTGCCGTGACTTGCTGGACAAATTCCTTTGGATTTCTTTATGTTAATATATGATTTTTTTTATTTTATATGCAGCAGGTTAAAACTGCACTCAAATATACTTTGGGATTCATCACAATTTGTGCAGTTCTTCTCTTAATTGGGTAAGTATTTGTATTGAATGTTAACAGGGGATATGCTAAATAGGCCCCCAAACAAAACTGTTTTGTGCAAATTTAGAAAAGGGAGACTATAGTGTACTCAGTCTGTGTAATGAATATCTATCTTAATCTCTAATAGTTCTTAAATAGCCTGAGAATTAGGTACCTGAAAAAGAAGAGTTTAACTGGAAGATAAAATGGTTTTCTTAATTATGGAGGTACTTCCATAATTAAGCCACAGGCTTCCAAGCTCTGTCTGTTTGTTCAGTATGAAAATCTATAAAGAATGTGATGAATATGACATTTACGCTGTTATACACTGAGATATCAATACAGTTGTAAAATATTTGTGCTCTTCCTTTTTTTTTTTTTTTTTTTGCCTCTTATCAAATGCCTTCATGGACATCTTAACCAGCTTTTAGGAAAAGAGTAGGTTTTATGTGCTTAGTACTTTCCTAAATGGAAGTGTTCTGTGAAAGACATAAGTATAGTGTAGGGTTACACTTGAAATAGTTCCACCTTGTATGATAAAAGTTTTGCTGGTATTTGGTGAAAGGCAGACATTTCTGAAGTGCTAACTTATTTGCAGCAAGTGCTGCTATTGTGAAACTCCAAGCAGTGTTACAAATTCAATTTAAGTTCACCATTAAGCATGACATGCACACCAGTATTGGATGTTTCTAATGCATGCTGTGTCATAAGCTTTTTAGCATTTTGACTGCAGCAGTAAAGTTGGTAAAATTTACAAAATGTGTGCTAAAATTATCCAAACTGAAGTACTGGAATGTAGGCACTAGAGTGAAATTAATGCTTCTAATTGTATTCCACCTTATGGGAATATTGTTTTAGTTATGATAAACATTTCAGGTATACCTAACAAGTCTCCTTTCAATTGAAAGTAACATTTGCTATTACAAGAGACTAAAGGAGTTTGAGCTAGTTTAATCATGGTCTAGAAATATTAAAGATTCTGGCAAAAGCCGTTTCACTGACTGTTGGCTAATGTTATAGGCAGACATATATGTCCTGTGTAATATATCCAGTTCAGAAAATTGTTGTATCTTTAGGTGTTAGCTGAGCCCCCAGGCAGCTGTAAGCGTGTTTGTTCTTCCCTTCTGTTAATATGGAACTTTGGTTCTTGACTTCCTCATTATCCTCTGTGCTCTTAGGTTTGTTCTTTAAAGGCTTCACAACTTGTAAATTACAGCATCTTTGTGGTCCCCTCTAATATGACAGTGAGATTGACTTGCAAACCAGACAGTACATGGACTGGGACTAAGTTACTGAACAGTGCTTCTCTATAGGTACAGATTTAAAACCCACTGATCTAAACAGCAAGAGTATCTGCTCCAGGAGGCAGGTCTCCTTTAGATACTGATGGGATTATAGAATATCTGGGTTCTAACTGGGGCTATCTTTCTGCAATTATACATATAAGGCTGCTTGCTTTCTTTTAAGATGATAATGATTAAGTAGTAGCATCATCCTAATGCCCTTGAAATGTACTTAAGATGCTGCTGCAGAAGATTAAAATTCTTGTCTGTCCTCTTGAAGGGAAACAAGTTTAAACAGCTCAGTTTAGAAAGCAAATGAGGTGACTGTGCTGAAGAAAAATGTGAACTTTAGTCCTAGTGTAGTTATATATGTGTGTGTACATATATATGTATATATATATATATATATAAAAAAATAAAAACAACAGATGTTTCAGTGTTAGGTACATGCTTGCTGTGGACGAGTTACCTGTCTTAGAGTCAGTAAACTGCACAGCAAGGACAAAGAGCAACCTCAGAAGTACCAGTGTGACAGGGAAGAGGTAAAAGTATTGGAGCTGAAGCTTGTATATGAGGGACTCAACTGAACTCGGTAATGAAGACAAATCTTTCACTATTGCCTATACCTGGCAGTAGCAGGAGATTTTTTTTCACTGGTGGTTCAGATCAGAGCAGCATTAAAGCAGAGCAGAATGTTATGTACTGAATTTAATTTTACAAGACAGGGTTTAATGGACTAGAATACTCATGCGCACAGATTGAGAGCAAGAGGGGTTGGGATGTTTCCTGTTAACTGCCTAAAAGATAGTCTGTCTTCTTGTGCTTACATGACTAATGTCTTTTATCAAGACATTCTGTTCTGATTGATTTAGCAAGTAAACTGTATAATTAAAACTGTTTAATAAATGGCTCGGTTCTGCTAAAGATGGGTAGGTCTGTCTTTAGATGAAGTCCCTATCTCTCTTCTGGTCAGCAGTGCTCAAAAAACCCATAAAAGTTATATTAAGCTTGAAGTTTCAGATGTTTAATGTACTCTATTAGAGATCTATGACTATTTTAGGAAATGTACCTGGTTTGTGCCTTGTGATCTTGGAGTTTGTTCTGAGTTGGTAACACAGCTCAAAGAACAAGATTCTTTTGTCTAAATTGTTAAGCAAGAGTAGTATTTATGCCTCTTACTCTAATTGTCTGTTAGAAAGCCTCTTCCTGTGCCAAAATTGTGCATACCTTTAATAGCACTTAAATGCCCTTCACACAATTAACTTGATGCAGAGCATCATTAAGAGGAGAGTATGGGATAAATATACTGGAATACTCAGAACTAATACTTGTAATGCTCTTCCCTTTTTAGAAATGATGTGCTTTCCTTGAATGTAGCTTATTTACTCTAAATGTCATGTGGTGGATTCAAGGGGCTTGAGATACTACAATTTACTTTAAGGTGCATTTATACAGCAGTCTGGTTGGAAGTAAAATGTTTGCTTTTGAGGCTAATGAATGTTTGGTTTTAAAAGGAATGTTTTCCTGACACTCAGTGTTTGGAATTAAACTGGTTACCTTGAATTTTCTGGAACCATTAGCTTTTAAAAAGCTATGAATATATCTCATTAGCCTATAAATAGTTACGCAAATTATAGCAGAACTCACTTTAAGGAAATTAGTTTAATTTATTAGAAATTATTTTCTGAAGGATGACAATTAATGGCACTCTTTGATTTAAGGATCAAACTTGACCTCTCTACACCTGTGTGTATTTTTAGGCCTGCCAAAAAGTTAGTAGCTTTAAACTGCATGTCTTACATTTACTTTACTTGTTCTTCAGCCCAGATATTGATCTAGATCTTAGTCATAATATTTGCAGGATGTGTTTTAAACAGCATAGCAGTTTGCTTCTATGCTTAAAACTACTGCAGTGAATAATTTCAATTGTGTACAGAACTCCAAATACAGACATCACAGCTGAGCTGTTCTGTTTGTTTGCTTTAACTGAATTCAGCTACACCTCCAAAACGCTTCACTGGCACTTGTGCTCTATTAACTGTCAGTGGGCTACTTGTATTACATCACAGTGACAGATGAATTATTTATCATTCTAATGATGGCTACTATGGCCCTCAGTCTTCATTGACTATTTAATCAACACAATAGCCAAGACTTGTCTCAAATTTTTCTTGCTTAGTATGCTTGAAGAATTAGACTAAACTGCTGTGTGCTGTCTGGTGCAGTGGATGGGCTGTGTTTTAGAGGTCCTTCGGGAGTGTGGACTGGATGCCGGTGAGCGGATGGCTAGGCATACTACCTCTGTTTTGTTCTTGTGGCCTGTCAAGCTAGAGGCCAAAAGTCTGTTCAGGTGGCTTAGTTAGCCTTCTGGCTAATTTGCTGCTAGTTGAAGGACCCTGTTCAGGACAGGAAGTGAGATTCCTGCTTGCCTGGGACTAAACTATATGACTCTAGCTCCTGCATTCCTTTCTGAGGCCCTTGGAACTTGAGCGTGAACAGAATCAGATGTCCATCTCCTTCAGCCATGATTTAGCTGAGTACTAATTGCAGAGTGTTTCTAGTGAGTACAGTGGCTTCTGCTCTCACCAGTGTCCTTTCTCACAATAGTTGTAGGTAGTCTGAGCAAGAAAACCCAAACAGGAAAACTGTTGCTTTTGAAGGCTGGGCGGGGGGGGGGGAAGGCAAGCAAGGTACAAATATCCATGTTCTTAAATCTTATTTGCTTCTTGCTTGTGATTGAGATAGAAAATTTGTACTGATAAGAAAACTTGAGTTCACTTAATTTCCCAGTCTTCTATTTTAACCCTTCTAGCAAATAAACCTACAATTATTTTTGTTGCCAGCTCTTGTAAGTAGAAATTTTGCCTAGTTTAATACCTGTGTCTTGGTTTTGCCTGGATGCTGTTTTACAGAAAGAACTACTACTAGAGGAAGATGTAAGAACAAAAATTATAAGTCAGGAAGTATGCATTAATTTAAATGCTAGCCTTAACTTTTTGTACAGTCCAGAAGCTAAAAGCTAAACACTTTTTAAAATATGCAATTTTTAAAATTTTAACATTCTTTGCAGAGCATCAGTTTGGTTTTGGTGATTGTAAGTGCAGAGGCTAGCACTAACCTTTGAAACACATGCTTATGTTCTGTACTTGAAGTTTGAGGCATACTCCTGGAAAACACATATTTGTTATTAATTTGTTTGTTGGGACTTGAAGCAGAGATCTAATTATATATTTTATACTCTGCTTATGGGAAGGTCCAAAAATACTTCATTAACTTCTCTGCACTTCAGTTCTCTCAGTTCTCTAGGCCAGCTACATAACAAGGAATGGTATTCAGCAGATGTGGTGTTGTTTTAGTTATAATAATAGAAGATAAACATGTTCCTTTAAACTTTAATTAATGCCTGGTGTGGGGAACATTGTTATATTCTAGCTTCCAGAACTGTAGATTTAAGAGAAATTGTCTCAACTCGGGGCGGGGGAAGGGGAGTGCTCTCTGCATGTGAGTCAAACCAGGATAGTAAATCAGAATAACGCATCTCTTGATACTTGAGTGTAGTGTTCTTAGCTCTGGTAGAACTGGTAGATAGACCATGGACCTGTTCATGGACCTTGGCCCTGACTCCACACACTCGCACACATACTCTGGTCTTAATACAGCATTTAAGGAGAAAGTGAATAAGATTAGATATTGTATTCAGATTTTTTTTAACCTAATGTTATACAATTTAACTTTAGGAATAAATGGATTTCCGTTTTCTTGACATGGAAATACATTTTTCTTTTTGTATTTGATGAATTAGGCTAAGATGACATTTTGCTTTGTTTACAGTGCTTTTGTTCCTTTGAATATTCCCAACAAGAACAACTCCACAGAGTGGGAGAAATTGAAGCTCCTGTTTGAAGAATTTGGAAGTAGTCGTAAGTTTGAGATTTGTTGTGAGCTTTGTATAACTTGCTACTAACTGAGTTTGGTATACTCATCATTGACTGAACAAGATTAACTTTCTTGGTGACAGTTAGAAAACTTGACTCTTAATTGCTCACCTACACTAAATCATTGCAGCAAGATTGTTCTCTTTTTGTTCAAACAAAAGAAAAATCAGAACAGCCTTTGAACTACAGAGAAGAGACTCTGGCAGTGTCTGCCTTCAGTACACTCCCCATTTGACAGCAAGGATTCCAGTGTTGTGTCCTATGGTATTAGTGGTTGAGGGGGACGGTACTTTCTTCCATGGAGTCTTCACTTGACACAGCTTTTAAATGTTACTTGGATGCTGAAGTTTGCTGATTTTAGGATATGGTGACAGTTTTCAACTGCTTACCTAATTAAATGTGATATTGCTGTTCACTGCAAGAATGAGACTATTAAAGTGGCTTTGTCTGTTGATGCAGCTAAATCCTATGGGTGTTATGATTTTTTTTTTTTTTACCCTTTGTTCTCCTAGTATTGACCTTTAATTGTTTTGTTCGCATTTGTTATATTTGTTTATGCTAGGACTATAAAGGACTACTGTAAAGATTAAATAGTACTTCATGGAATTTGGCCTTCAGCTTATGTAGTTCATGTATTTAGACAGAATGTGTTTTCAAAGCAAAGGCGTGAAGAAACTGTTTATAGGTGAGCCAAGACAGATTGGATGTCACTTTTCCAAATGTATCCAGAAAAATGGTAACTAAAAGTTACCTTACAAGCCTTAATCCAAATGCATAAGTACTGTAATATTTGTGCCTCATTCTTGCTATATGTCAGAATATTGGCTTCTGTCTGAATATTTTAGAATGTAATGCTACAAGCCGTGGTCAAGTAGTATTCTGCATTATTCTAAGAGTTTTGTACTGAAATTGGTGGGCCCTGAAGGGGTATGCCAACTTTGTCCAGTTTTATTAAGTGTTTTCTAGCTTGATCGTCTTCCACCAGGCATTCATCTTCCTTCCAGCCTTTCTCCCTGGTTTCTAAGGCCCAGGTTTCCTAAAATCTGGTCTTGCTAGTGAGGACTGAGGCAAAGAAGGCATTCAGTATCTTGGACTTTTCCATGTCCTGTTTACCCTGTCCCACTCAGCAGCAGACCCACATTTTTGCCTTCCTTTTGCCACTTCAGTACTGCAAGAAGCCCTTCTTTGTTGCTTTTGACATCCTTGTAGAGTCTTTCATCATAATACATGCTGTGCTGTAATCTGTGTTTGCAAGCACAGGAGATGGGGCAGACAAGTCAGTAGGGTTTCCATAATTTTGGCTGTCTGCTGGTTTGTTTCTCTTGCTTCACAAAGATTCTAATTGACAGTATATAATAAAATGCTTCTCAAACTGTTTATACAGGTAGTGGCAGTGGCTGAGCTGAGAGCTAATTTTTCTAGGCTACCTTTATATGACTGTTAAATATTCAGCTCTGTACATGTCCTTGCTATGAAAGTATAGTATAGCTAATGTTTATATCTAGGAATCATAGAATCACAGAACAATTTGGGTTGGAAAGAATGTTAAAATCCTCTAGTTCCAACCCCTCTGCCATGCGCAGGGACACTTTCCACTAGACCAGGTTGCTCAAGGCCCTGCTCAGCCTGGCCTTGAGCACTGCCAGGGAAGGGACAGCCACAGCTTCCTTGGGCAGCCTGTGCCTGTGCCAGTGCCTCACCACTCTTGCAGTAAAGAATTTGTTCCTTATATCTATCTTGGGAAGGCTTAATCATGAAGATGCTGGATTGAGATGTGGTTTTGACTTCTGACTCTACCAGCATTCTCTTGTGACTTAGTTTGATACGGTAATTCACGCTGAAGAGACCTCAAGTCATGTAAGTACAATCTCCTGCACAAAGAAGAAAGCTGTAATGTCAGACCAGATTGCTCAGGGCTTTACCAGCTAGCTCTTGAAAAACCTCTAAGGGTGGAGACTCTTTCATTTTGTGGTGGGGAAAAAAAAATTCTCACCCACTGTGAGTATGCACAGTGTCACCCAGTGTCTCGTACTCAACTACTGTGCACCACTGGAGAGCCTGGGTTCTACCTCTTTGATAGGCAGGCAATAATGTGTCTCTCCAAAGCTATCTCTGTTTCAGGCTGAATAAGCCTGGCTCCCTCAACTTCTCTGCACAGTATGTGCTCTGACCTCTGAAAAGCTTACCTGGCTACCAAGACACCCCACCAGCCTTTTGTAGAGCTGCTCCACAGCCAGTAAGTTCTCTGTCAGTAATGTTACAGAAGGTTCTTATCTGATATAATGCAGGTGCTGGAGAAATGAGGAAAAAAAAAATCTTTCCTGTTGTCTTTTTCTGTGTGTTGTACTGTTTTTATATTAACCTGCCCTTTTAATTTTTCTGCAGTTAAACAAGAAATAAAGATCTTAATTTTGAGGGGTTTTTCTATGTCCATTAAGTTTATAGAGGGATTACAAAAGAAATGCAAACTCATCCACTGAGGCAGAGCCTGATAATAAACTTCTGGTATATAATTATAAATTTTTCAACCACTTAGCTTCTTAATGTTCCATTGAACGTAGTTCAGACTTTTAAAATGGGTATTAAATGTTGGTTTGAAATGCATGTACAGGAGGATCATCAAATATGGTGTTTATATGTGGGGTTTTTTTTTCCCCCTAAACTTCAGAACATAAGAAAAATTTTCTCAAGTATTAAGGGGAGAATAGTGCTGGGATTTTTATTTTGTGGGGTTTCTTTTTTGTTTTGGGTTGGCATTTGTTTTCTGTTTATTTTGGTTTTATCCCTCCCCCCCCCCCTTTTTTTTTTTTAAACATGGTTGTAGTATTTGATATTTATGAATATATTGCTGTTAGCTTTGAGAAAGTTGTCAGTTTTGCTAGATAATACCAAAGGAAAGATTTGAGCTGGGAAGTTGGATTTGGTTGTGCTATTCTATTAGGCTTTGGTATTTTTTGAAAGGGGGCCTGTAGGGTTGATCAGAAGTAAGACAGATACATCTCATGGAGAATAACTATAATAGGATTTCTGAATTTGTGAATGTTTGATTCTGTGTTCAGGAAAAAAATGGTAACCAGCTAATGAAAACTACCAGTAATTATGTATGAGTAGGAATAAAAGTTATTGTACTCTAAATTCTTGAATAAACTATAAGGGAGGGGAAGACATGGGGCAGAATACTCGAGTAGTTCAGTTGATATGACTGGGTACAAAAATGGAATTGATTGCTTCAAGTTAATGTCTACAATAGCTACTATAAGTTTCCGTGCTACTATAAATAAAACAAAAAGCTTGCCATGTTGTCCTGCATGGTGAGGTTAAAGAACAGATGTTGTGAAAAATTATGCAGTAGGATTCAGGGAGTTTGGTTATGAGTTTAGTAACACTTCCCTTTTAACTATTCTTTCTTATTTGTAGAGTGATAGTAAGGCTATTGTAACTCTTTAGTCCCATGGCCTTCTTCTAGTTCGTACATCTGGATGTGCATGGTCGGAGTGTAGCTGAGGCCTACGGTCTGGCTTGTTTTGGTTGTATGAAGGATCCATGTTTGCGTGATTCTCTGGATAGTGCTTTATTTTGAGAAATCAGGCGATGACAAACAAACCAAAGATTAACTGTCCCGAATGTATCTGTAAATAGTGAAAATCACCCTGTGAAAATAGCAAAAAGCACCCTGTGGAGGCCAGAAATAAATCTCAAAGAGGCATTAGACAGCTATGGAGCAATTTCATAAATGGCTGTTCAACTATGTGACTGAATGTGTCACGTGTGATCTTGAAGCAAAGATGAGATTGCTGTCCTGCTTGCAGTATTGGAGGAGGATCTACTGCTGACAAAAAGCTATTCTAGGTGCGTTTTTAATCTGATATGGCTGGTAACTATGTATCAATTATTTTTCTTGAATCTAACAAACTTAAGTATCTTCACGAAACAAATTCAGGAAGAAATGTTCTTGTTACCTCTGCTGCAAGAATTTTCAACAGGCTTTTCATCTTTTTTTTGCAGATGGTTTGACAGCTCTTTCATTTTCCATTAGTTCCTTGACTGTGATTGGAATGTTGGCAGCTATCACTTATACAGTAAGTTATTACAGAAATGTTTCAGCTCTTCATATTCATTACATTTGCACATGGGCTATACCTAGTGAGAAAATGGTCCTCATGCTGAAGAGCTTCGACCAGGTGTTCTAACTCTGGGTTTTCACGGTTTGAAACACTACTTCTAGGCTCTTGCAATGAGAATAAAAAAATCGCATTTGGATGGTTGTTTTTTTTGTTTGGTTTTTTTTTTTAACTGCAAGTTTAAAATCCACTGTTTCAGTACTTGAGCACAGATCAGACTTAATTTCAAAGTGTCCCTGAAAGAGGAGGACATATTATGCATTATGTCTTGTAACACTCATTCACTGGTTCTTCTGTTGTTTTGTTTTTTTTTTTTAAACGTATGTCTATTTCTCCAGTGGAGAATTAAATGTTGGGGGTTTTTATATTCACTGAACTATGCTGTAAGCTCGACTTGGTCTGATCAGTCTATACTACTGAATACTTACCTACATTGATGTTTCCGTTTCTACAAAGGTTTACAATGACAAGTCTGGCAGAAAATTTGTTCTGTAAAGGAGTATGCAGAATGTTGTCAATAATAACTCTTTTTGTAAAAGGCTGTTCTTCATTCAGTAAGTGCAAAATGTCTTTAATAGAGCATTGCTTTACAGTTCTGTATTTGTAGAATTTGAGTAAGGGTAAATATGCATGTCAGGGTTCAGTTTTAGGTATGAAAAATCTTCAGTATCTCCTGTGATGTATGTCTTAAGAATAGTTTACAAAGTTAAAACCAGATAGAGGCTTGCTTTCTAAAGCCTCAGGAATATTCTTGTTAGTCCTAGGCATCCAACTAAACCACTGCAGTCCTTCCTGTAGCTTTGAAGGGTTCAGAAGTGTTCATTCTGTGACCAATTATACATCATATGATTAAGGCAATGTTAATTCAACTTGAATTTTGCTTTTATGTGCAAAGGAAAGGAACCATTTAACTTGCTAGCTTTGGTCAACATGTGATGTTCATATGGTCGCTTGCTTTTCCAGTCTGTTTTATTTCTTCAGTTGCTGAATAATGTTTGCAATGCTGCATGTTTTAATTTGTCATAAAGGTAAAATTCTGCAATGAAGATGAAATTTTAAAGCTTAAAATAACTGCAGGTAAAGCTTTAAAACTTCCCAGAAGTCAATGTTTTCCTAATAATAGGTTTGAGTTCTAGTAACTTTAGCTTTCTTTGCAGCTCAAACATAGTAACATTGTTCCCACATAGCTTTGCTAGTCGATTCTAAGTGGCTTTGTAAAAATAGCTCATGCAAGAAGTTATTTTGAAGCGCTGCTAGCCAAGGAGATACTTTGTGGTAACTTGTTGTCAGTCAAAGGATGGATGAATAAAATTGTCGAACAAGGATACAAGAAAGGGGAAAAAGTGTTTTAGTAATAATTGAGTGAAGGGATAAAGTACCTGCTAAATACTACCTTTGGACTCATAAGCCACTCTAAATTGAGTAGCAAGTGTAGCTAATGATTTTCTGTCTCCTCTGTACTAGTGACTTTAGCTGGTGTAAATTAGAGCAGGATTATGGGAGGCAATTCAGTGCAGGTTTTTAGTTGTGTCAGGGCACTGACAGCTTGGTGGTCATTAGGCTCTGTGCAGTAGGTAGGAGAGCAATTTGGTGCGTCAGCTGGTAGGTATCTCAGATGAGCCAAATGGCTCTCAGCCCTAATGATTAAGTATTTTAACTTGACCTGAGTAATAAATTCTATTGCTTCAAGCCTTTTCTGACTGATATGGGTCACTAAATCATTCAGGCTCTGTTGCTGACATATAGAGCAAGTGCTGGTCCAAAAAAATCCAGATGTTTGTTTAGCCTATAATAGCATGTCAGCTTTTAAATTCCTTTCCCTTAATTAAGGAAGGAAAGGTTAATGTCTTGTGCTCTGCAGTCATGTAATTGAACATGTAGTATTTTTAAACCTCCACGAGACTTACATTAAGAGCAAACACATTAGCTGTGAGAATGTCCTCAGTGTTGTTTGGTTTTTTTTTCCTAACAGCTGGGTTTATTTTTCTATAACTGTTAGTAAACATCCAGAAGCATCTAAAATGCAAGATTGTTTTATTTTGCACAAATATACTGCTGACTGAAATGCAAACTATTTTGATGGTAAATGAGGTGAAACAGAAAGTATGAGGACTAAAAGAGCCTTCTCTGTATGCCTCAGTTACTAAGATTTTAGGGTAACTTGTTGCTTTGAAAACCTTGGCTGAGCTGTCCATGCAAATGCCTGGAGCATAGAATTACTATTCGCTTTGTTTTAACTGCAGCATTTTATCCTTCTGAAACTCTCCTGGTTTACAGTAAGTGTTAAAACAACGTGGGAAAAATGGAGGAGCTGTTTCAGAGAAGTTTTAGGGATGAGCTCACACGGGAGGTGGTTGTTTGCCTCTGATATGAGAGTTTTTTGTCATTCTTTGCAAGCAGTCAAAGAGTCTTATGCTGAAACAGTGAGCTGGGTTTGCCTGGGTGGACGAAGTACAAATATGTCAGAGTGAAAACTGCTTATTAGAAGGTCCATGTTCTCAAAGTTCTAGAAGGAATATGCATATAGCATATGTATTCATGCTCTGTGCTTTCGTAACACTTGGCCCACTGGTTGCGCTTCCATACATAAGCAGTCTCCACCCATAGGAGCATTGCTCATACTGATCACATGGTCTGAAGACTGAAGGCAAATGTGACCTTGACAGTATGTGGATGCCATGCACCTGCATTCCAGTTTATATTGTGGACTGGGCTTTTCGTAGTGGTACAACTTCATGCAAAAGTTACTTTAGTAGTGAAAAGTTCCTCGTCTGTCATGCTTCCTTAAGCCTCAGGGAGAGGTTGGCCCTGAGTATAGCCTCTGTCTTTATCAGCTGAGATTACCCTACTCCCCGCGCTGGGAAGCGAAGTGATTCTGGAAGGAGTAACTATTTTAACCTTAGTAACTTTCCACTTAATTGCATTGTGGATTTTTTTTCTGTTAGTCTTATATTAAAAAAAAAAAACACACAAAAAAAAAACAACAAAAAAACCCCTCACCTATATAAAACAAAGGCATTAGTGCACAGGCAGGTTTGTGAGGGCAATACCTCTGCCATTGGATATCTGACAAGTATGTAGTTAGGCCTCTGTTTCTCAGCCAGCCTTCTGCATGCCTATCAAATTGTTTGTCCTAGTTTATAAAGGTGGGAGGCCTTTGTGCTTAGTCATCAAACCACTGTTTGATAATTGGTGATAGATCTTTTAAGCACAAAAATAGAATACCTTTATATAAGGGTGAATACAAGAACAAAGATACATACTTCAAAATTTTGCACAAATGCCTATCAAATGGTGGAAAAAAGGACAGAGGGAATAGATGAGGACACAATGTGTGGTATCTGAGTTCCTTAGTCTCTGAACAGAGGTTATCTCAGATCTTTGATTTACGTTAGTTAAGAGTTGAGCATCTGTGGTACAGACATAACTGATGCTTTTTGGTTTTGTTTTTGTTAGTTTGTTTCCTGGACTTCTGAATAGCCTCAGTCTGTTGATTGCCCGTGTTGCAGTTGTGTTCTTAAGGGGAATCAGAATGGTTAGAGTTGGAAGGGACCTTCAAGATCATCTAGTTGCAGCCCCCCTGCCACAGGCAGGGACACCTTCTACTAGACTAGGTTGCTCAAGGCCCTGTCCAGCTTTCCCTTGAACACTGCCAGGGATGAGACAGCCACAACTTCCTTGGGCAACCTGTTACAGTGTCTCACCACCCTCATAGTAAAGAATTTCTTCCTGGTATCTAATCTAAATCTACCCTCTTAGTTTAAAGCCATTCTTTCTTGTCCTCTACATGCCCTTTTAATATGTCCCTTTTTATAGAAGGTGGAGGCAAGGACAGGCGGCCTGGGAAGAATACCGGAACATTGTCCAGCAAGCTAGGGATCAGGTCAGGAAAGCTAAGGCCCAGTTAGAACTGTGTCTGGCCATGTATGTCAAAAATAACAGGAAAGGCTTCTATAGATATGTTGCAAACTAGGGATAATGTGAGCCCTCTTTCGGAAGCTAACAGGAAAACTGGCTATCCTGGATTTGGAGAAGGCTGATGTTCTCAATAACTTCTTTGCCTCAGTCTTCACAGGCAAGTGCTCTAACCACACCACTCAAGCCTGGGACAACAAATATAGAGACCTTAGGCCCACTGTAGGAGAGGATCAGGTTTGATAGCATCTTAGGAACCTGAATGTGCACAAGTCCATGGGACCTGATGAAATCCATCTGCAGGTCCTGAAGGAGCTGGCGAATGAAGTTGCTAACCCACTGTCTACCGTATTTAAAAAGTCATGGCACTCAGATGAAGTTCCTGATGACTGGAAAAAGGGAAATATAACCCCCATTTTCAAGAAGGGAACTACAGACCAGTGAGTCTCACCTCTGTGCCTGGTGGGATCATGGAGCAGGTTCTCCTGGAAGGCATGCTAATGCACATGAAAAACAACAAGGTGGTTGGTGACAGCCAGCATGGCTTCACTAAGGGCAAATCTTGCCTGACCAATTTGGTGGCCTTCTATGATGGGGCTGTGGAACTGATGGACAACGGCAGAGCAGTTGCAGTCACCTGCCTGGACTTGTGCAAAGCGTTTGTCACTGCCCCACATGATATCCTTGTCTCTAAACTGGAGAGACATCAATCTGATGGATGTACCACCTGGTGGATAAAATATTGGCTGGCTGGCCGGCCACACACAAAGAATTGCAGTCAATGGCTCAATGTCCAGTCAGAGACTGGTAATGAGTGGTGTCCCTCAGAGGTCAGTGTTGTGACTAGTCCTTTTCAACTGGCTTTGTTTAGCCTAAAGAAGAAGGTGGATCTGGCAAAGGCTTATCAGTGTGTACAAATATCTGAAGGGAGGGTTCAAAAAGTATGGAGCCAGGCTCTTCACAGTGGTGCCGGGTGATGGGACCAGAGGCAAAGGGCACAAAGGTCATGAACCTTTATAATAATATATATATTTTAATATATA